AGATAAGAATACTCTGGTGTCGATGCTGGAGGCTCGGGGCGCGGTGGACGAGGAGCGCAGGGAGCTGGGGGGGGCGGAGACGGGGGGAGCGGGGACCAGAGGGCAGGCGGGAACACTCGCAGCTGTGGACCCGGGGGCTGGAGGAGCGGGCTTTCCACTCGCATTTGTCACGCTCTTGCCAACCGGGAAGACATCGACGCCACGCTGCGAGACCAGCGCCCGCCGGAGAAACGCCCTGACCTTCCTCACTGCCAGGCCAGCGACCTTCGTGTCCCCAAGAGCTACAAAGAGGCCATGGCGTCGGAGCACCGGCACCTTTGGAGCGACTCTATGCAAAGGGAGTTTTATGGCTTGTTGGCAGCGAGGGCTTTTACTCCGGCGAAGTAGCAATTAGTGGAGAATGCAATCAACGCTAAGTGGGTATTCGATTGGAAGGCAGATGAGTTTGGATGGCTCACTAAGGTTAAGTCAAGACTTGTAGCGAGAGGTGATATGCAGAGAGAGGACATTGACTCTGGAGAGTTGTACGCGCCTACCGTTTCTGTTTTATGTGTTAGGATGTTGGCTGCTTTGGCGTGCGAGTTGAACCTCGACTTGTGTCATTTCGATATTGAGCAAGCTTTTGTGCGTTCGGAGTTGGAGGAAGACGTGTACATGCGTTTGCCGCAGGGATGTGGAGCTCTATCTGGAATGATTGGAAAACTAGGCACGAGTCTGTATGGCTTGAGACAGGCATCTAGGCAGTGGCATGCAATGCTGAAGAGGTGTTTGGTAGAGTAAGGTTTTGAGCAGTGCATGGCCGATGCTTGTGTGTTTCGTTTGATTGAAAATGGAGGTGTTGTTTTGATTTTGGTAGTACATGTAGATGACACTTTTGCTGTGGGAGAGAGGGAGAGATGTGACAAGTTTGGCGCCGACCTTGACAAGTCCGTGCCAGTGAAGAACCTGGGAGAGTTGAGATGGTATTCTGGGTGCTTTTACGAGAGGAACAAGGGGACCGGTAGGTTGACGATTTCTCAGCAGACTTTCACGGATGAGCTACAGCAGAATATGGAGTAGTGGGAGGTAAGAGCGTTCCGATGTCTTCGGGGGTGAAGCTTTCTGATTTTGATGCGGATGAGGTGGCGACAGACTTTCCGTTTCGTGAGCTGGTAGGATCGTTAATGTGACTGGCGACTCAGACTAGGCCAGACATTGCGAATGCAGTAAGGGCAGTAGCTAGGTATTGCGCATCTCCGAAGCTGGTACACTGGAATGCAGCGATGGATAAGAATTTGTACCCGCACGAATACGTTGGTTGGCATGCACGTCTGTTACAAGTCTCTCTCATTATGTTTCCCGGCCAATTTAATTCACCTCAGACTAATCAGTTGTCTCGTTCACGTGCTAAACACGCAGCACATGCTCTCGTTTTGGCAGGAAAGCTGAGTCGGGAGAATTGACCGTATCGTACAACCTCTTCTGCTATTGACTGACTGGAGTATTTCAATGGTCAACGGTTAGCACGAGCGGCGCTCATCAAAGTAGCACAGACAGAAACAGTTCCATACAATTGTGCGCTACCCCAAAAGTTTGAAACACCCACGAAGACACAATCTGAACGAACCCTTGGGCATACAAGGCCAGGCTCTAGGCGGAGTAATACTTTCTAACACGTTGGTTCAAGGATACACATCAGCTCCCCTTTCCATCCTCAAACACCGAATACCTGGCTCCACACCATTCATTCGTTCGACATCACTCTGCTTGCAGCAGGCCCGCGGAGAGGCAATTCGACGCGCGAGCGCAAATTCGTCGTGGGTGGGCACCGCGCCTCTGGAAGCTTTGCTATCCCGGGCGTTCCACGAACCGCCGCTCGATCTGGATTCGTTCTCGGCGTATGCCACGAAGACCTTCTTCGCCGAGAACCTCTTGAAGAGGTGAGTAGGTCACGGTGGGGTTGATGTTCTTACTACGGTTTCAAGCCTGAATCCGAGTTGCTATTAGATTCTAGTCAAGTTTCCTTACCTCGGGATACCCCGAGAACAGCAGTTTATCGTTCTGTTGCAGGGGTCTACAGCCGCGTTGGTTCGCTGTTGGAATGCAAACAAGTGAACGCAAATGGGGTTGTGTGTACAGCTACTAAGATTTGTTTCCGAGCCAAAGACGGTGCGGGGTTTGTCATATCGACCACATGCGGCTCATGTGTAATCCATGGATATTCCATGACACCCCATTGGCGTCCCACGGGGGCCCATGACGCGCCCGTGGGGGGCCCTGGTAATTCCGATGGTTTCTGGCAGTCGGATGGCCTTGGAGGCCACGGGAGATCGAAAACCCCATGAATGCACAGTATGGGCTCATGGGTTGCACAATACCGACCTATGGCGACTTCATGACGGAAGGTTGGCAGACCATGACTACTGGGCATCGTGGGTGGTACTATGGCGGGCTGCCTGGGGGCCTTCGGTTTGGGCACATGTATCTGCCGTCCAGCGGGCTCGATCCTTAGGACGGCCCATGGGTCGAACTCCCCTGACGTCCCATGGGCGCTTGTATAGTGCACATATCCCGAACTCTTCAGGCGTGTTCGTGACGAGGAATCCCGCCTGTCCTTCAGATAAACGCACTACGTGCGCGGCGAGATGTTGAAACATACAGAGTGGATCTCTTGCATATCATGTCCGAGTACGTCGGGAGAAACTCTCTGTCGGAGGTGAACCTAAGCGACGAAGAACTGAGGGAGACGGAGGCAAGAGTGGCAACTGTTCTCAGCGGTCTTCGCAAGGTTGCTCGTTGTTGTTGCAGTGATGATCCTGCTGGTAGTTGCCATCGTCGCAAGTGTCGTTGGTATTGGCTTTTGTATCTCTATGCGTCAGATAGCTGTGCTTGGGACCGCTCCAAATGGGTAAGAAGCTGGAGAAGTATTCGATGCTGCACCTTGGCAGGACCAAAATAAAAATGATTATCCGCGTTCGATGGATTTGCCAGCCTGCTGGTTTTATCACCAAGACACTATGCCTTCGTTCCGTGTCATGCGACCAACTTTGCCGCGACGCCGCGCGTCGGCGAAAACTCACCGAAGCCATCGTGTGGTTTGGCTTGATATGAGTGAAAATAGTTCAATAGTATCTATGGTATGTAAATGCGTTGGGCCTGTTTCTTCTGGCGCCAGTCTACACACTCTACGTCAATTTCTGATATGTATCAGCCGCGGTCCAACGGTGGGAAGGAGTTGACAATTCAATGTCTGTTTTTTCGTACTGTTGTGTTTCGGCTAATTCCCCACCTTTCATGCTGCGGCACTTGCTTCAGGTTTCATCCCAAGGACTCAGCCGTCCCATTCTCTCGTCGATCGTGAAGCCAAAGTGTGTACTCACGAAGTTGCCGTTTTCCACCGCAAGTTGCAGATTCAATTCACTCCGGAGAGAGAATCGAACCCACAATTTGCCACTTATAGGTTGTTGGGTTCACCACAGACCACAAACGTACACGGCCTCCACGCCATGCCGAGCGGATGCTATGTCACAATACTATCACCTTTGCGCAGGACTTTTTGAAGGAGCCGTCAGATGGAGGCTACCTAGATGGTGCCTACCATGCTATTCTAGCAATGGTAAAGGCCGACAATTACGCCTGCTTCAAGGACTATGTCGTTACGCACCGCCAACTCCGTGTTTCGTCGCTGGAGGCCGTTTGGTGGATGAAGGTGTGATGAGGTGAAGTACATTGTGTTTTCTTCCAGTGGTCCTCTTGATTATTTTGTGGTCGGCGAATTACAAACCTTCCAACTTTACCTTGCGGGGAGTAGAGGGGGGATGGTTAGTCTCCTCGACGTATCACTCTCACAATATACCATCCAAGACGAGGAAAAGATGAGCTCTCAGAATCACCTCCACGCAATCTTTTCAACCCGCATATAAGGGCAATATTATGATATGGACGCGTGTCCTGGAAAGATTTATGTCGACTTTTCGGTCTCTGCCGTGAACGATGCTCCACTCACCCCCGTCCGACCGTGGCCGACTAAGTCGGTTCAAGACTTCTGAGCGCACCCTACACAGCAGTTGCGATAGCATCCTCGACACGAACCCTGTTCATCGCTGCCATCCCATACGTCCAGGATGGAATTACGTTGAGTACGTGAGTCTGTTTGCGGCCTACGCCACTTATTTATCGGGTGAGACTATTTTGGTGATGTATTATCATCACGTAGTTACGATGAAACTCAAAATCTCCCGCGTGAAGTGCTTTCGTCAGAAAGTCAGCATGTTGATTCGCCGATTCCACGTGAAAAATCGATATCTCCTTCCTGCCAACCAGTTCCCTGATAAAGTGGTGCCTTACGTCGATGTGCTTCGAGTTACTGTTGCTAATCGGGTTTTGCGCCAACTGAATAGCCCCCTCGTTATCCTCAAACACCGGAATACACGGCATGCCTGCTTCTGGTAACATGAAACGCCACACCTGCCTCAGGAACAACACTTCCTTCATCACATCCGCAAGAGAGACATACTCCGCCTCTGTCATGCTCAACGTNGATGTGCTTCGAGTTTCTGTTGCTTATCGGGTTTTGCGCCAACTGAATAGCCCCTTGGTTATCCTCGAACACCGGAATACATGGCATGCCTGCTTCTGGTAACATGAAACGCCACACCTGCCTCAGGAACAACACTTCCTTCATCACATCCGCAAGAGAGACATACTCCGCCTCTGTCATGCTCAACGTGACGCACTTCTGGGTCCTTGAAAACCAAGAATACACCCCCCCACACACATCACCAACCCCCCTGACCCAGACCTCCTATCGGTAGCCTTGCTTGCATAGTCTGCGTCTGCAAACACCTCCATGCTCAACCCTGCTACACTACCCCTCCTGAATACAATACCCAAGTCACTAGTCCGTACCACATACCCCAAAATACCAAGCCCTGCTCTCCAATGAATTTCTTTGGGAGAGGCACAGTACCGTGCTACCGCTCTTACTGCATTCGCGATATCTGGCCTCGTTTGCGTTGCCAGCCACATCAATGATCCTATCAGCTCACGAAAAGGCCATGATACCACTTCCTCATCCTGGTCAAAATCTGAAAGCTTCAACCCTACAGGACGAGGAATTTCCTACCCGTGCTCTACCCCAAACTCCATCCCCAATNAAATACCAAGCCCTGCCCTCCAATGAATTTCTTTGGGAGAGGCACAGCACTGTGCTACCGCTCTTACTGCATTCGCGATATCTGGCCTCGTTTGCGTTGCCAGCCACATCAATGATCCTATCAGCTCACGAAAAAGGCCATGATACCACTTCCGCATCCTCGTCAAACTCTGAAAGCTTCAACCCTACAGGAAGAGGAATTTCCTTCCCGTACTCTACCCCAAACTCCATCCCCAACTCTTCAGCGTACGTCTGCTGCGAGATCTTCAAAGTCCCTGCATCCCAATCCCTCTCATAAAATCATCCAGAGTACCATCGCAAGTCCCCAAGATTCTTCACAGGTACCATGGTGTTGAGGTCCCTGCCAAACTGGTCACACCTCTCCTCTTCTCCTATCGAAAATATATCATCTACATGTACCACCAGAGTCACTACCACTCTTCCCTCCTCAATCAACCGAAACACACACGTATCCGCCAT